ATTGCGCGCCCGATGGTCTCCTCGGCAGCAGCTGTCACCTGGTCGCGAATGTGGTGCCACAGGTCGCCCACTGTGGCTATACAGCCCGCATCACCACACAGGCGTGCAGCCATCGCCTTCTCCAGCTCAGTACGTTTCGCCACCGTACCGAGGGAGAGAATGTTAAATTTACGCCGATTCACGGCGGGAGTGCAATACATAGATTTACGAAAATATATGTACAGTTTGGTCCGCACCAATTTGTCATCAGTGCCACACTCAGCTCCACGCAGTACACGTATCATGCGCACTTCACGCATATCACGCTGACGTACGATGACATAGTCGAACAGGTGAGCGTGACCACTCCGTGGGTGCGTCCAAGTTGCTATATCACTCGCACTCAGTGTAGACCGAGTGTTGTGATCGTCAAGCCGTGAGTGGCACACAGTGAGAGCAGCCTGTCACCGTTCGCATTCGTTGAATGAATGCCATGAGAACCGATAACATCTGTCCACGCTGATGCATCACGCCCAACGCGCGCGTTGAAATCACCCAGCAGAAATAGTCGGTCGCTCCTCGGCAAAGACCGTATCACGGAGGATAGCTCAGTGTGGAACTGATCACGCGTGTCATCAGGATAACACATGGTCGGACCGTACGTGCTTATAAAAGTAGCAAACTTACCTCTTCCGACTCGCAGGCGAACAGTCATCAGCCGCGCGCTGATGCCCGTTGGTTCACCCACCAGCTGGCCATTCAGGCGATCGGATATTGCAAATCCGACCCCATGTTCACGTGGTGCTGAGGCGGCGTTCCCCACCCAGTAGAATGTGTAGCCAGCACCTGCTTCATGTAACTTACCTTGCTCAGCGAGCCGAGTTTCACTGAGCACCGAGATATCGATGTGGTAACGCGCCAGCTCCAGTGCGACCAGTGCAGTGCGTCGATCTGGGCGCTCGCTCGAGTTCCAGTCCAGTAGTGTGCGCACGTTCCAGCACCCGATGCTGAGTGCTTTGCGCGCAGGCAGACGATTGCATTGGTGGGCAATCGCACGCGAGGTGGTCGTTGTGCTTCGGAGGTTTGCTTGAGGGACTCCACCCGGAGCCTTTGGCTCAATAGCCTGACCCACAAGGCAGTGGGTGGTTTGGAGGTTTGCTTGAGGGACTCCACCCGGAGCCTTTGGCTCAATAGCCTGACCCACAAGGCAGTGGAGAGCAGATCCAGCTCGGGAATGTGATTGCAGAGACAGATTGGGATCTGCTTGACGGCCGTCACACGCAGCCTTTGAGGTTCTGGAACAGTTATCATATGTTTTGCGACCGTAATTGGATACGCACCTGCGACCACGGCCAGACGCAGGTGGGTTTTTGGCGGGTTTGCACCAATTTGACCAGGGGCTGCCTGGCTTGAGGCGGACAGTAGCAAACCATTGAACACCCGGAGGTGTCCTCCCACCGTCAGAGACAATGCGTGGCACTCGTGCTCTACGCCAATCGAGCATTGAGAATATAACCCGTAACCTGTTGTCTCCCATGGCTAGGTTTTACGGGAAGTGGGCCATCGACCACTTCCTAACCTCCGAAGAGGATGGACTAGGATACTGGCAGGGCGCCCAATCCTGACAGGAGAACGACTCGGGTCCTCAGCCAAAGCCTTCGATTAAATGAACACCCGAAAGGCAGCGGGTCTAGCACATGGTCAGTTAGCTGACTCATGCGGATTGGTGTCCTGGATCTTAGCAGGGAGAAGGGCGAAACCCAACTCCCACCCAGCGGTCGCCACGTGGAGGCGCCCAGGACATGAGACTATGGCGCAACAGTAGCAGCAGTAGGTAGACCATCTGTCAGGATCTAGCCACCACCAGCCTCAGCGTACCATAGGCTCTCCCGCCGTTGCTACACACACATGCCTATATAAGCACATATCCCCATAAATTCAGTTTGCAACTGGTTGACTTGTTACATCTGTGTACAATTACCGGTTATCATGATCATGATCATACAGGCGTGGCTCACACTGTCGAGAATGAATTATGTATCTATATATCTATGTAAGTCTCCAACTGGAGTGTTCTGTGACGAAGAATCTCGATCAGTTGACGATAGAAATCAACTTTCACCGGGTTAACGATATAGTTTGTGGGGACATGGACAACAAGGACAAACAAGCGCACACTGTGCTCGTGTGACTTCGGCGTTTTGAAAGAGCCAGTCAGTCTGCCGGCGCTTTTACGAATACTGATTGTGATCTAGTCGACTAGAGCTAATTCAGCTCAGAAAGTCCGAACAATATCCACACTGAATTGATCGGCATACGAAGCTGCAGCATCTACCGATATGTGCACAGAGTACTACCAGTGATACAAGGTGGTCGCAGAGCGAGCACGAAATTCCGTAAGCTACAGGTGCCGGTAGATAGTCTGATGTTCGGGCAAGTGTATCGGCTGAACGATTGGGGGGAGTACCAATCTTAACGATAATCTACAGCTCCATGTGGAAGCGGCTGAACGGAGGTTGTTTGCTTACTTGGACATGGGCTTGTCGACTGGATTTACCCGTCTTGACAGTGATGGTAGTGAGGTTGTGATTGTTGAAATCAGTCTACTTATAGCAGAAGATGCAGGAATATTGTTCCTAGAAAGAAATATTCCTGATTCTACATTATGGTACTCAAAGGGCCACGATAAGGTTCATCTTACTCGACGGCAGCGATGGCTTCTTCACCATTAGGACCTCAAGTGACTTCAGATTTCTGACCATCGCTACTTCAGTTCAGTACAAGTCAGTTAAACAACTATGATCCGGACACGGAAGAGTAGTGCATCCAGTCGCCACGACTTTGTCACCAGTATAACAATAAGTAGCACTGATAAAACGAATAGGATGGAACGCGAACAGGATACAAACAAAGGAAGGTTAGAAAGCAACTGAAATTGCTTGACATGAACAGCTACATGCAAGAAAGTGAATGCAACAGCGTCATTAGCAAAGCAAGAAGTGTGAAAAAGATGGACGTGTAAGCATGTGATGAGCCAATGGACAACACAGGAGTGGCACAAGTAACGATACATGTACACATGGGGTTAAACAATGTGATCAAAACATCCTAGGTTAGCTGAGGACGGGATCTGATGCATGAATGGCCTACACAAGCACGGTGCAAGATCAACTGAAGAAGTTGTAAAGCACGCTTACAACAGTTGAAGGGACATTAATGTTCCGTCGTAACGCTACAGTTATATGTGAGATAGAGCAAATTTCGAGAGAAGCAATCATTGACCAGGCTGTTGGAAATCTAATCGCTACTCATTAGACTGGGTATTATTTGTCTGTCACATTCTTCAAGCTCAAGTGTTCGCTATCAGCCCAGTGCTAAGTGATTTAGATATAATATGTGATATGGTGACCGGCCCCATTCGCAAGTCTGTTTAAATAACTCGGTTGAATCCCCAGATAAAGAGATATAGTCTCTGGAGCGTTCCGGTAGTATAGAAGCGATGCACCATTAACAAGCACTGATGGCGCTGACGATGAGTAAGCCTTCCTACACAACTACCTGTGGAGCAAGGATTCTTTCTAAAGTAGTGGTCGCAGAATGGATATTGGTTCGCAAATTCAGCTCTATGCTCATATGATGGCCACCTGTTCGGGGCCGATAGCACATGTTAAGCAATATGCGCAGCATTGGTGAAGTGGTGCATCCTTCAGGCGCTTTCGGGTTAAAGCCTTAGACAACTCATATAGGCAGCTGTAGCAACGGCAAAGATGATACAATAAAGCACAATGGTGCGACGCATAAAAGAAAAAGGACCACATTTACATAATTCATGGTGTGCAGAAACGGTAGCGATATAAAATCAAAGCGGGATAGCAGATAGTGCTGCCAAGTAAACGATTTGTAAAGAGTTGCATCCAGAAGACTTGCACGATAAACGGAACCAAATGATCTCTAGAAACGTTGTAGAATTCGCACTGGAATGAAACTCATAATCAGACAATACGTAAATTAGGATGACGATGAAGACGTAACTGAGGACCAAAAATTAAGAAATGGCTTGACAACTTGGATCAAGTGACAAAGGGTATATCAGAAGTCTTAAGATGAGGCAGATTGATGCTTACCGCATAAATCCATGCTAGGCATGGCTTGCGCTATCCGGTACTGGATTTGCTTGTCACTGGGACATCCACAGGACAATCACAGGACGTCTGCACCTACAGAGGAACCAAGGATGGCTTGTGCTGCACCACGCATTGCTCCATCCACACACCTGATATCCAGTGTAAACCAGAGGAAATAAGACCAGGAGGCATGTGGACGGCAGCCAGGTTTCTTTAACGGAGCCGACCCATATTCTTACAAAATGTACAGCAGCAACATTCCAGTCAGTCTGATTTAGGTATCATGCGTACCAGACGTATCCAAAGTGGTGGCTGGGCCGTAGTCTGCTCCACACTGGATCGAACCCCTCGGTAAGCCTTGCACGGCCACGAGAACCGTGTACCGTCCCACCCCAGCGATGAATCAATCTCCAAGTTCGCATATTGGCAACATTCACATCAAGCGCAGCTACATCGAGAATATCAAACAAGCAGCATCGAATTTGAAGGAAGATAAACACGCAAAATTGACAAGGAATATGCAGCAGAATAACAGAACTGCGCAAATCAAATAAGGAGGAATACTTTTTATCCAAGTTAAGAAGTTCTAGTGCAAGTGTAATTCGGCGTAGCGCAACTGTGGTGAAGAAGCATAATGTACGCAACATCAACCTCAACATGAGGTATGCTACGTGATGATAAGACAGGGCGATGAATGCCCTTTTAAGAATAAGAATGAATGCCTGACGAGAAACGTTCCGCATTGGAAAATAACAACCGAGGCAATTCAGTGTAGAGTTAGAAAGATGCACTAACCTTCCGAGGAATATTGATCCATGCCCAGTGGCTAAAATGAGAATCCGTAGAAACACCAACAACGGCAGCTCCAGCGTTTGTGAACTCATCGATACGATCGGAAAAAGCGATAATTTCCGTAGGGCAAACAAAAGAAAAATCAAGGGGATAAAAAAACAGCACCAGGTATTTTCCCGCGAAATCCTGCAGTTTGATTTCTTTAAACTTCCCATTAACAACGGCTGTTCCTGCGAAGTCTGGGGCAGGTTTTAAAACCTGGGCAGCATAGCATCGATTAAAGGTTAGAACCGGAGGTGATCGAACGAAGCGTCCAAGTGAAAGTGATAAAGTCCGAAACATCGTGATCTGAAAATGGGTAGGAAAGGAGATGAACACTTCAGTTCAGTTCATTTAAAGAGCAATGAATTATGGACAGAATTACGATGGACAGGAGCTGCATACATCATCATCAGTAATACACGTTGGCTGAGGGTGAGAAACACCCGTTAATGTGCCGCAATACAAAAAGATGAGATACTAAACTTTAGAGACCATAAAAAACTAAAAGAAAGATAATCAATATAATGCTAGGTATAAAATTATGCATAGGATATGAGATAGTGGCTGGAGGGAAAGCTAAAGGGAATGAGTAGGGAAAAGAAATTCACAACGTAAACGCCACTGAGGTCGGCTCCTTGCCATGTCAGGCGTGCTCATCGTCCTTCGGATCCAGCCCGAGAGTCGAGAGACACCAACCGACGCCAACCTCGAGGTAAGAGTTTGTAATCCTGTTGACCAAATTATCGGTTGGCCGCTCTTATTCTTTATCTTACCGTTATCAACAGCCATTTGGATGGATACTTCGTTACAACACGAAAGAAATGTTTACTTTAGTCACCGAAAGTCTGCGAAGTTGAACGGACACGTAGATCTTGGACGCAACAAAGATCAACGAAATCTTACGGTAATTAGTGCAATCACTGTCGAAGCCATTTTTGTGGATCTGAAAAATGACTGATTACCCCCTAAGTTGCGAACCCTCTACTCAGTACAAGCTTTCATGAACAGCGATGGCAATTTGCTCTGAATAAAGCATAAGAAAAGCTGTTAGGGTTATGTGATTTGAGATGTAACGAAGATTAGATTGCGCTTCGGATCTCCGCTTTGTTAGAAGGACCTGTGGGGACAGGCCGAGCACCAACTGGTGGAAATGGAGATGTCACACTGGACTGTGCAGAGTAATCAAATCGAAGAGCAAGATGGTTTGCCCAGCGATCCAAACGAGTGAGCAGATTACCGGTTTTCGTGCCGTCTGTCTCAGATTGTCCAACTGGTAGCGTGTGAACCGCAACCGGTGGCCTTGGTGAGGCAAAGTAAATGGAGACAATTTTCAAACAATAAAGCGAGTTGAATCTCAGCAGCACGTTCTGACCACCCAAGTTCACGATCACAGCGAAGTCTTGAACTCTGCAGTTGAGATACAGCGACGTAGTACTTTGTGTTCCGCGCCGACAGACAATCTGTTGACGACCCAGCAGTTCCGAAGATCTAGTCGAAGTCCAGCTTTCGGCTGTGCAAAGGGCGAGGCTGCAGTTGGACGAAACGGGGGCCAGCTTGTTGCAGGACTAACCAGTGTTGGTCTACATCCGAAGTAAGAGATGGAGATTTTCACGAAGTCTGGGTAGTTTGTTTTCACTGTCGGTTCCTCCAACGTGGGTGTTCCGTCAGGTATGTTTTGGCCTAGGTGAGCCATTAAAAGACACCCAAACTGGCGCATAGACACTAATGCATGAATGATTGAAACGTAAGTCGAGCAAAATGATCGACAATCGCGCACCAGCCGGCCCGTAGCCGTAAGGATCACAAGCCTACCTTGTAAGCCGAGGGTGTGGGTACGAGCCTGCGTAAGGACCGGGCGACCCTCGCAGTATCCCAAGCCCACGTGCGACCGGGGGTGGTTGCGCGACAGCGAAGCGTCGGTACTGCGTACCGGCATACTGCTGAGGTCCTAGGCTGTCACGCTATCTGCGACTTTGTGGTCACCTCGCGACCAACGCTGGGTTGATGGTGGATGATGCGAGGTGGCATTGTTATGCAAGGGGATGAAAGCTAGTGCTAGAGGAAAAGCTAGTGGTCAACACAAAGACTGATTAGTCTTTCTGCGTTACCAGAGCAAGCATCATCGTATACATGCAGCTGGCGTTGAAATGGCAGCAACCAGCCGACATGTACGTTGAAATCTCCGGCGACAGTAGTGACGGCCCTGTTATACTCACCTATGAGTAGCTCATAAAGGTTCTGGTAACCGTCGTCGTTGACCGTACCCGAGTTGCAGTCAGTGGGCGCGCAGGCGCAGACCACATAAAAGCACGCTTGTCGGCCCAATGTTTGCTGGTTAAAAAAGCCACGAGGCCTCACAACAAAGATGTCTGTCAATTGAAATCCCATCAAGGAGAACGACCCCGGCTCTAACACTGAGTGCGATCCCAACATCAGCTTGCACAGATGCGGCAGACTCAGTGTCAACAGAAACGCGAAGACAAAAGCGGAAGTGTGGATAGTGTAGTGATGACAGCTGAAAGACGATGTTGGAATTCTGGAATCGTAAGCCAGTCAAGCAGCAGATATCAGTTGCAGGTCTTCAAACTGAGTGCAAGTTCAGAGTGATGTCCGGACCGAAGTAAAGTGCACAACATTGAACGTTGCCAGATTGAATTGCGTTCCAGGTTGCAGGAGCGAAGATGAAATACTCCGGGATTAGCAGCTCCCTGCAAAGCACTGTATGGTTGAGTTTGTGGATGTTAATCGAACAAGTTCATCAACAGAAAGAGGGCAGAGCACCGTTCAGGAATCAAGTAATAATGTAGTTAATTAATACAAGAGTAGACAAACTGGTAGCGCGCATCTGTAGAGTTGGTATAGTAGTAGCATAGTGAACCCCATGCGGAAGCGGCAAACACCGATGGGTTGTACTCCATCGACATCGAGCGCATGGTGCTATAGCACATGCGGTCGCGAGTGCCTGAGTCAGGCAGGCTTAGTGAGTCATGAGCGAGGCCACTCGGGACCACTACCGAAGCGACGACGGGTCCTGCAGAGAACGTAGGCAGAACCGGCGCGGCGTTTGTAGGCACACTGCATTCGATTTACTAACCGCGTGCTTGCATGCTGAGTCTATTTATTTCAGGTGGTGGATTTCAAATTTTGTCCTAATGCTTTTCTTTCTCATATAAACGTCTACCTGTTCTCTCTTCTATAAACTTGCATACGTCGCTTAAGCAAATTGTAGTTAATTTCGATAACATTTTCGTGTTTGTGTCATTTCTGTAAAATATACTTTCTGACCTCGGGAAGTTATCTCGGATTCCTTTGTAAACGACATATTTTTATGCTCATTGATTTAAGATTTATGTCACCGTTTCCTTACGCATTGCTCAACTTATTTTATTTCTTATCTTTCTCTCAAGTGATTGGCTGTTACTTGATATCCCCGGTGGGGCTGCGTTTGAGGTGCATGTTGACAAAGTGCCTACCCGTTTCTTACCCACTACCTCATACACATTGGCTCTAAAAGACAGTTAATCGTTGCTGGAGAGGACCGTGTGCACGGCGCTTGTGGTCGTGTTACGAGCAAAGCGTGATTCCATGCACTCAGCGTGGAGCGGACTACAGTCCAGCCACCGCCTTGTGTGCCCTAGCTTCCCAAATACAGCGTGCTTGTGTTTGCCTGTGAAGGAGTGTGGGCGGCTTTGTTGATGAAACGTGGCTTCCGTCCACATGCCTCCCGATCTTATTCCTTCGGGTTTACACTGGATATGGGGTGTGTTTGGAGCTGTGGGTGGTGCAGCGCAAGCCATCCATGGTCCCTCTGTAGGTGCAGGCATCCTGTGGCTGGCCACAGTGACAGGCAAATCCGAAACCAGATTTGACTGTCACTGTGGCCAGCCACAGCATGCCTGCACCTACAGAGGGACCATGGATGGCTTGCGCTGCACCACCCACAGCTCCAACCACACACCCCATATCCAGTGTAAACCCGAAGGAATAAGACCGGGAGGCATGTGGATGGGAGCCACGTTTCATCAACAAAGCCGGCCCACACTCCTTCACAGGCAAACACAAGCACGCTGTATTTGGGAATCAAACGCACACAAGGCGGTGGCTGGATCGTAGTCCGTTCCACACTGAGTGCACCGAACCACTCTTTGATCCTAACACGGCCACAAGGACCGTGCACCCCGTCCCCTCCAGCAACGACCAACTGTCTCCTAGAGCCAGTATGTATGAGGTAGTGGGTAATAGACAGGTAGGCACCTTGTCAACATGCACAACAAGCGCAGCCACACCGGGGATATCAAGTAACAGCCAATCACTTGAGAGAAAGATAACAAATAAAATAAATCGAGTAATGCGTAAGGAAACGGTGACATAAATCTTAAATTAATGAGCATAAAAATATGTCGTTTACAAAGGAATCCGAGATAACTTCCCGAGGTCAGAAAGTATATTTTACAGAAATGACACAAACACGAAAATGTTATCGAAATTAACTACAATTTGCTTAAGCGACGTGTGCAAGTTTATAGAAGAGAGTACAGGTAGACATGTATATGAGAAAGAAAAGCATTAGGACAAAATTTAAAATCCACCACCTGAAATAAATAGACTCAGCATGCAAGCACGCGGTTAGTAAATCGAATGCAGTGTGCCTACAAACGCCGCGCCGGTTCTGCCTACGTTCTCTGCAGGACCCGTCGTCGCTTCGGTAGTGGTCCCGAGTGGCCTCGCTCATGACTCACTAAGCCTGCCTGACTCAGGCACTCGCGACCGCATGTGCTATAGCACCATGCGCTCGATGTCGATGGAGTACAACCCATCGGTGTTTGCCGCTTCCGCACTTGCCGCTTCTTCTCTGCATGCATGAGGTCTTTCTTCTGCACTTCGGCAACTGCCTTCGAGATTAGATCGCGCCATGCACGCCGATTAACTGCCTTCGATTCCCATGATCTGCAATCAAGATTAGAACGTGAGAGGCTCACTGTAATCATGTCCTGGTAACGTAACTTTGGTTTCCCCACGTGCCGCTTCCCAATACTCAGCTGACCGTATGAGTTGTTTCAGTATCCGCGTCGAATCCATACGGCTCACATGACAGAGCTACCTCAGGTGTCTCAGTAAAAGTATGCAGTCCACTGCATACATCCCACTTCGGCGCAACACTTCCGTGTCTGCAACTCTGGCGCCCCAGCCGATCCGCAGAATTCGTCGCAGACACTGCTGATGGAACCGCTCGAGATATCGCACATCCCGCAGGTACATCGTCCACGTTTCACTGCCGTATAGAAGAACGGACAGTACCATGGATT